TTAAAAACATTGAGGAAAGAGGGTAATAAGTGTTGTTGTTATAACCCTCCACCAACAAGAGCATTTTAGGAAGCTGCAAATATGATTAGGTCTAGCAACACTCAACATGAAAGAATTTCACATGTATACCAGTCTGATCATTTAAAATAAATTACCTAAGCTGACAGAATAAGCCATTGTTACATGTACACCATCCTTCCTGGAAATTGCAGGTACAGAATTTTGCATGTACACCTGTCTAATCTCTCAAAATAAATTAGCTGATAAGCCATTGACCTCTCCCTCTTGATGCTTCATTTGTATCTGTGATTTAACGTCACCCACAGTTCCTGGAATGTCACATGTACACCATCCTTCCTGGAAATTGCAGGTGCAAAATTTTACATCTCAACATCTTAGTATCTATTCTGCTAAAACTGTGAAGAGCTAGAAAAGATGATACCTAAAGTTGGCTTAACAGGATCAGCAGCTTGTCTGCAATAATCATCCAACAATTTCTCAATAGCCTTCCCTTTTGGAGACATCCTCTCAGTGCCCTCACACGTCCATGCACCCTTAGTGTTATGGCTGCTTGTAGAATCACTTCCCTCCCTCTGACTATTGCTTGTAGCCTCACCACTGCCTTAAAAATTTTGAACACGTTCACAATTTTATTATGAACATGGATAAGAAAATCATTAGTGACTCTATTTAATGGGATTCTTTAAATATTGGAACAAATATGGCGATAATTAGTTTCCAATGTCTAAGTGATTGGTGGCATATGGCAGTGGGGGGAAAAAGGAGAAATGAGATCAGTGGAAAAGATGCAAGCACATGAAAAACGGAGGCTTGATAAGCATGCCACTATACGAAACCTAGATTGCGATTTTTTGCAGTAAAGAATAATGTATTTGGCGAAATAAAAGAAACAAAATATATTTGCAACCACTTTTTTTGTATCCCACTTTTATTTTCTGTTCTATCTCTCTGTAAATCCATGTAAAGTATTTACTCTCAAAATGCATATCAAGATTCCTTGAAACCCTCTTGTTATAACCCGCCACCTACCAATAGCATGTTAGAAAGCAGCACATAGGTCTGGACACATTCGGCATAATTTATCTCAAGTTAATAAAACAATAGCACACTGTAATTAAGATTTCTACAAAAGGCACAGAAAGATCAATTTTTACAGGTGAAGACTGTGCTAACATTAAGAGGCCTCAAGTATAATGTAACAAGTTGGATCAGTTACTAAAACCCTTATAAAAAATTTGAGATGAAAGATTTGAAAAGCAGAAAGACAAGCATAGTATGGCTTAAAGTATGGTAAAAAAGTTCATAAATGAGATGCTCATAAACACTCAAATCCTTTAAAATCTTCAGGTAAACGATTTGGAAAGCAGAGCGACATGCAGAACATGGCTGAAGCATGGTAAAATTGGCCGAGCAGCGAAAATCCCACTTACTAAGAAACATCATAACAAAGATTGCATGCGAATAGCAGACCGTTCTTGCTTGATCAACCTCAAATCTAATTTAGGAGCAGCTCGGACCGCCACAGTAGTCATGGCACAAGCAAATGCATCATCCACCACAAACGTAGATGAACCAGACTAAAGCATAAAAAGACAAGGATGCAAAACTTTGCATATGAGAGGAAGGGAAGTCATAAGCTGAGGGTTCTCTTCAGTGAAAAAAACTGTGTTCATCAAATTAGGCATCAGGAAAGCCGCACAATCAAATTGCACAGCAAATCTGGAAATTAAATGAGAATGAAGATTTCATTCCAGTGGAGGAGCCATAGGATCGTCTAGTTAACAATCATATCCAAAAACGTAGATGAGTCCGACTGAAGCATCAAGATACAAGGAGGCGGAACTTTGCATATTAGATAAAGGGAACTCATAGGCTAAGGATTCTATTTAGTAAAGAAACTGCGTTCATCAAATCAGGCATCACGAAAGCTACACAATTAAACCGAGTGAGAAATCAGGAAATTAAATGAGTTGAAGATGCCATCCAAGAAGCCATAGATCTTCCAGTTGATTAACCTGGAGTATCGCACCATATGCATATTAGCGACAAAACAAGATTTCATCCAACTCACAAAAAATAATTGAAAATAAACCATCGAGAAGCAATTATGAATGAATACTTTATGGCAAGACATTCAAAAACCAGGCTCTAACTTTTGGATAAGAGATCTGACCAGGAGCACCGGCAAGAGACAATCTAAACACAATAAAAGAAGAAAGCAAAAGGAAAGACACAATACCTCTGACCCACAATTCGGGTTCCGCGCTTCCTTGGAGAACGCCCTTTCTGAAAATCAATCAGTGCTCTCTCCAACAGAGTCCTCCGAGATTCTCACGTCGGGAAGAGGGGAGAGCAATCTGTACAAGATAGATCAGTATTAATTCAAGAAGAAGACGGATATACGTTTCTTATTCGATACTGGAGTATGAAGATCTCACTTCATAAATATCTTAATAAATGAAATTTGCGTTCAAAGCATGACATAATTTAAGCATAAAAAAACAGGGACACAAAACTTCCATAGCATAGAGGAGAGGAAACCTTAGGCCTAGGAAGTAAAGAAACTGCGTTCATCTAATCGGGCATCGGGCATCGGGCAACAATTAACTGCGGAAAAAGACATGGAAAACAAATAGCCAGACGACATCCACATAAAATGCTTGGGTAAAAGCTTTGTTTCGGAACAACATCAACAATCTAAACACAAAAAAGAAGAAGAAAGCCTAAGGAGACAGCAGAAGAATACCTCTACTTCTCTTGGAGGCTTTGGAAGCGAATCAGTTGTCTCTGTGCTCCGAATACAATGACGGAACTGAAAAGGTTGCACTTATGAACGGTAAAATTCGACCGAGGTGGAAAAGTAGCCGTTGGAATGCAAAATTAACACCCGAAGAACGCTGAGACTTGGCCGGCCCGCTACACAAACCCATGAAAAAAAAAAAAGGTTATATATTTAATATCTGAGAGTGTTAAATTATAGATTTGTACTTAATAGGCTGGCAAACAAAAAAAGATTTGTACTTTATTGCTCTCATTTGCCAGTCACTCATAGGTGAAAACAATAAATGAACTGCAATTTTTTCTCTGAGTAATATAAATATTTTCTCTATTGTAAAAATAAACATTTTTATCTAAGCAATTAACATTGTCAAGACAGATTCTAAAGTATATCATTTAATTAAAAATCATATTAAAATAAATTTTATTTACTAATTTTTCCCTCCCCATGCTAAATTCTTACTTTATCTTTGCAAAAATTTTATCAAAAAAAGAAGTTGCAGAGCAAGAAAAAATATTTTATTTTATAATCATGTGAGCGTGCTTAAATGGTGTCTTTTTTTTTGGTCAATATATGTATATTTAAAGGATTAATAAATAAGTTTAAATAAACAAAAGTAAAAATTATTGCAATAATAATAATTTAGAAATAAAAAAGTAATTAACTTTATAATATGGTCAAGGTTAATCAATTTAATAATATAAAAATTTTGTAAATATAAATTAAATTTTCTTGATAAATAGAAGTGTTCAGATAATTTTTAAGTAATATTTCTGTTAACAAGAAACTTTTTTGTTAAAATAAAATGTCAAGTACAATTTAACTGGCAACAATGTAATACTTTTTTCAATGGATGTTTATATAAATTATTAAAATAAATAAAAAATTTCTTTGGCATTAGTTAACCAGAAGAAATGCTACTTAAAAAAAAGGAAAATGGCAAAAACTAAACGGTCAAAATAGAAAAATTGCATACAAAAACCCGTTTACAAAAATTGTTGTCAAAACCTATATTAATGTTGTCATAAGTCTCTATTTGTAATTTTTTTATTTTAAAAGTTTCGTTTTGCCATTTTTCCAGAAAATATTACAGGATATTAATGTGCTAAATAAAAAATTTGTTTATAATAATGTGAGTTTGCTCCAATGATGTTTTTTTTTGTCAACATATATATATTTAAAGGATTAATAAAGAAGTAAGTTTAAATAATCATGTGAGTGTGCTTGAATGATGTCTTTTTTGGTCAATATATATATTTAAAGGATTAATAAATAGGTAAGTTTAAATGAACAAAAATAAAAACCATTGCAGTAATAATGATTTAGAAATATAAAATTAATTAACTTTATAATATGGTCAAGGTTAATCAATTTAATAATATAAAAAATTTATAAATATAAATTAATTTTTTTTTGGTAAATAAAAGTGTTTAGATGACTTTTAGGTAATATTTCTGTTAATAAGAAACATTTTGTGAAAATAAAATGACAATAGTATTCACCCAGTCCTAAACATAAGATTCCTTTTGTAATGTATAATTTAACTGGCAACAATGTAATATTTTTTAATGGATGTTTATATATATTTTTAAAATAAATAAAAAACTTCTGTGGTATTAATTAAATAGAAGAAATGCTACTAAAAAGAATATTACAGGATATTAATGTGCTAAAAATTAATTTAAAATAGTGAGTAATAAAATAAGACATTAATATAGTTCTTGATTCTTTAAATTTGTCTTCATTTTGGTTTTAATCTCTTTAGGTTTCTTTTTATTTATAACATTAGTTCTTATAATCTGATAAAAATCTGGATTATTTCAACGCTTAAAGGACTAAAACCTATAATTTGAAACTTGAAAAACCAAAACTAAAATGAGAATAAACTCAAAAGACCAAAGATTATATTAATCCCAAGAAAAATTAATAAAAACCAAAAAAATTTAAATTAAAAAAAAGAAAAGAAAAAAAAAAGGAGGTGCATGGCTCATCCCCAAAAGCTGTCGTTTGGGGATGAACATTCCCCGCTTGATATTTTACAAATTCTCTTTCTTGTTTTTTTTTTTGGCCCTGAACAAATTCTCTTATTTAAAGTTAACCAGTGTTATGCAAACTTTAGTTTATTTTATTAAAAAATATAAAAGATGCATCATTCATCATCATTCTTCAATTCATGAATTTAAATTATACTATTTCGATGGCAAAAGAAAAATACACTATTTCATTTTCGTAGAAAAACCACTTGTAATCTACATTATCCATGAGTCATTCTCTACATTTGTATCTCCCAACAAGCTGTTGAAATAAAATCTATGGAAGGTTGAGACTAAGCCAACCTTTGTTGTCTCGCAAAGTTTCTCTGTTGGTAAGAAAACCTTTCAGGTGTTGCACAAACACCTTTCCACAAATTAACACAAGGATCAGAACCAGAACAAATGCTCCTACAATCTCCACTCATATTCAAGTAACGACAAGCTCTTTGTTTGGCCCTTGTTGACTCTGTCAGATTCATATAGCTAGGTCTATGAAAAGTCTTTTCCTCCCTCGTTTCCTCCGCAAGAGTATTGCTGCTAAATGGTACACAATGTGATATGGATGTGTATGAAGTTGATGATTCAGGGCTATCATCAAAAGTGCAGCTTTCAGAACTCGAGGTTGAAGATGATGATGATGATGTCAGAGTCGATTGGCTTGTTGTAAGAGACCTACTGGAAATAATTTCGGTCACACCATTCCTTCTTGCTTTGATCAACCCTTGTTCTTGAACAAGATCATTGCTTTTCCTGGACAATGGAGTGATAATGTCAGTTGAGTCATAATAGTTACCACCGTCCATCAACCTGCTTTCCCATGGCTTCACTGTCATCCATTGCTCTAACAAGCTCTTGTTCACTGTCTTTGTGCCTCTTGCTTTTGGACTCCCACCCACTCGTGCCTGTTCAAATTAAAGAAAATTAGAACAAAGTTTAAGATTTTTGTTGCAAATGTTGTCTCTTCACTTGAGGATTTGATTACGCCTGAGTCTGAGACTGATCTTTACCTGAGCAGAAAGAGAATAAGCCATTTCTCTCTCCCTTTTGATGACCGCCTCTTGCTTCATTTGTATCTTTGCTTTAACTTCATCGACAGTTCCTGGAATGTCACACCATCCTTCCTGGAAATTTCAGGGACAGAATTTTACATGTTAAATAGACCTTAGTATCTGCTAAACTGTGAAGAGCTTGAAATTATGATACCTCAGCCTGCTTAACAGGATCTTCAGCTTGTCTGCGGTAATCATCTAATAATTTCTGAACAGCCTTCCCTTCTGGAGACATCCTTACATTCATTGCCCTCACACGTGCCTGAACTTTAACCAGAGCATGCATGCACCTTAGTGTTATAGCTGCTTGCTTTCTCACTCGCCTTCCTCTGAATATTGCTTGCAGCCTCACCACTGCCTTCAATGCCCTCAAAGCTCGTCTAGCCTACATCATGTATTGTGAACACGTTTAGCAGAAGTTTATAGCCAACAAGGATATGGAAAAACATTAGTGATTTATTTGATGTGATTCATCAATCATTTGAACTATGGTGATAAATGGTTTCCAATGAATAACTAGCTTCTGGCATATGGCAGTTGGAGGGGAAAAAAAGAAAATGAAACGAAAGAAACAAGTAATCTGTTTAGTGAATCTATCTGACGTGATTCTGCAATCACAATAATGTATTTATTAAAAAAAACTATGGCACACTACAATTATTACTATTTCTACAACAGCCACACACAAAATTTAAAAAAAAAAGAAGAAGCAAGTTTTACAGGTGAAGACTGTGTTAAGATTAAGAGGTCTTAATTATAATGGAACTTTAGTTAGATCAGCTACTAAAATGTTCATACGTGAGACACTATAAACACTCATCCTTGAAAAGTTTGAGGGAAAGGAATTGAAAAGCAGAGCAACAAGCATAGTCTGGCTAAAGTATGGTAAAACATCCCACTTACTAAGAAACCTCGAAACACAGATTGAATCCGAATGGCAGACCATTCCTGCTTGATTAGCATGAAATCTTTAGGAGCAGCTCGGACTGCCACAGTAGCCATGGCAGAAGCAAGCGTATCATCCACCGCAAACGTAGATGAATCAGACTTCTCTGAAGCAGCTTCGCGTTCCTTCTTGATGCTTTTCGTGGAGGACCCAAATCCAAAACCTTCTGAAGAGCTTCTCCACAGCCTCCACTTCTTCTTACTCTTATCCCCAACCTTCTCCTTTTAAAATCCAAATCCAAAAGCAGAGCAGTTATAAAAACACACTCTGAAGTAACAAGCTGACAGAACATGAAGAAAGTAGCTAAGGGACTTACAGGGTCATTGGAGGAGGGCTTTTTATGAGAAATGAGGGATTTCAACCATCTTCCTGAAGCACCCATTTGGTAAAGAGATTATCTTTGAGCAGGACAGAGAAGATCAGATAATTCAAGTCCTGAAAATGTGATGTGAATGTAGACGGGCTACAGAGGTTACGAGTTTTCCTGGGGTTTCTGAATTCAGAGCGAAGGGCTGTCTCTACTTATTAAGTAAGGCGAGCATGAGACAAAGCTGAGAGACGAGAGCGTCTTAAAATTTGTTTTGAAATTTGAAATTAAATTGTCCCTTTGTTTTTTTTTGCAGAAAAAGCGGGTCGATAAACCGTAACGGATATCTGAGAGCGAGGTCTATTTTCCTCACGCTCCCTCCGATTTGACAATTGCGAATGTCGACGTCACTAGCCGGTAATACGGGCTGGGCTCGCGGGCCCAGCCCGCCAGCCCGCCAAAAAAGGCGGGCTTGGGTTGATGTTTTCCCAGCCCGTCATGGTGCGGGTTACTCTAGCCCGCACCGCTTTTGGCCTGCTCCGCCGCGGGCTAGCCCGCCAGCCCGTTTTTTTTTTTTTTTTTACTTTTTCTGATTTTTAATACATTATATAATATAGTTAGATGATTTTGACCATTAAATTTCATATGGACATTACCTCATCTATATCATTATATATATAATTAATTAAGCACTTCATATATATGTATGGTTATATCATATGAAGAGCACTATCCATCTTTTATTTTTATATCTATTTGTCGTTAGTATGCACGGCTTCATAAGATTAGATAAATATGTGATTTTCATATAGTCATACATACACACACATAAAATATTTACTTAATTAATTTGGATAAGAAAACTAGTTAAATTAATTATTTATAAAAAATATATATGTTAGTTTTTCTTAAATTTCTTCTAATATTATAAATTAATTCTCTTTTTTTTTTATTAGAATCCATTACTCAAGTTTAAAACTCGGAGCCTAATTTCAACATTTCAAATTAGGCTTAACTCATACTAATATAATAAATTTTAAAAAAAAAAATTTAGGCGGGCTGGCGGGCTGGCCCGCCAACCCGCCTTAGCGGGCTCGGGCTGGCAAAATGCCAGCCCGCCAAGGTGCGGGCTACTTCAGCCCGCACCGCATTTGGCCCGCATCGCGGCGGGCTGGCCCGTATCCGCACCGCCAGCCCGCTTTCCCAGGTCAGGATGCGCCCCTCCCCCACCCGGACGACGTCGTTTCTCTTGGAGCTATTTATTCACCGAGGCCCAGCCCAACAATAGGTTTTCTTATTTATTGTGGGCTTAGATTCTTTTTTGCAAGTTTCACATTGTGGCCCAAAATAGTTCGTACCTTGGTTCCAAATAGCAACTCATTGATCGGCTGCTCAGAAGCTTGGGCCCTATATATTTGTGTGTGTGTGTGTGTGTGTCTCTGTGTGTGCGCGCACATTATTGGAGGTGTTGTAAATTATCATATGATGCAAAGACCCATTTTTTGTTTATAAGAGCCTTTTATTATTTATTTCTTTATTTTTTTCCCATTGTTTTGACCCACTAGAATTATGTTCATTCAAAGTGACTAGGGTATTTGCCTTTGGAATATCATAAAATAACAGTAGTTTTTTCTGTAATATTGATAAAATTTAGACAATTTTTGTTATACAACACGGTATGATTTATGTTTTAAATGGGAAACTTATAATTTTATAAACAACTTTGGAGCTCAGTATAATATGTGTGCGAGAGAGATTGGAAATTCAACTTTTTTTTTAATCATAAACATGCTTGTTGTGTGTATTACAAGAATGAAACCCAAAAAGAACCATGGAAATCATTAATTATAATGAGTGTGAACAAATGATAGAAAGAATCTGCCGACAAAAATGAAAATCTTATGAATATTTTATTTATAACATCGATGATATCTGCTTTCAACAAATAATACAATAAATAAATAAATAAAATAAAAGAGAATTAACTGATGTGTGCGTATAGGAGTAGCCCCGCCCCCCAAAAAAAAAAAAAAAAAAAAAAACAGACGCCGAGGGCTCTTTACACGTATATCCAAATAGATACAATAATAATAGCACATTTATATATACTATTTTGTTTTGTGCATGCATCTAGGCCTAATTTGCAGGAACACGTAGCCTTGGAGCGGGATGTTCCATACGCACAATCTGATCAGGTGACGAAGATAAATGGAGTTTTGGGGCGACACTTGCAGGAGAAGGTATAGGTATGGAAGCTTTTCTGCATACTTTTCCATGGCTAACGTTGACTCTAGCTGATATATGTAGGTTTTCAAATTCTGCAACTGGTGGCACTTTTATAGATATAGGGTACTGATGTTGATGACGATGATGGTCTCTTCCATAACCATTAATTCTTGGACCAACACAAGCTGTCCTTTTGCTTGACACTACTAATAATGGCTTCTTCTCTTTCACCTGTGAAGAAGATTCCACAATGATGGCTTCTTCCCTTTGATGACTGCCATTAACATTATTATCATCAACTCTGCAATCACCCTGTAATTCCTCGTCTACAACTGGTTTTGATGGAGGCACATCATCATCCACTGCATACGTCTGCATTCAGACAATAACAGTAGCATTGAAATATGATTCAAATTTGATGCAAACTATATATGAGCAACCTTGTGTAGTTTGTTCAGGACAATATTGTAGTATAATTTGCTACCTTCACATTTGTGAAGTCCACCTTATGCTTTTTCAAGAAGTTAATGAATTCCTGAAAATGCTTCTCCGTTGGGCAATAATGACCACTATAGGGCCATATAGCCTGCATAAATATGAACATCAGCATCAGTACTATGAAGTGATATTAAAAAGTGAAGAAGAACGTCGTATGAGTCCCACAAGGTCAAGGAACTCTCCCTCCTCTAATAGATTAGTCTTTTGAGATTAAACTCTAAATTCTCTGGACTTATGTTCATAATAAACGTGAGAGTTTGATAATATTCAGTTATTTACGAAAGGCTTCTCCCTGGTAAGAGGTCAGTATGGTGTCATTTATCAGTCAAAGGGCTATCTTCCTAATAAGCTAGTCTTTGGCGATTAGACTCTACTTTTGAATTTGTGTTCATGATAAAAAATTTAAAAAAAAAAAAAAACTCATGTGTTACGCACATGAAGGACTCCATGGGAAGCAACCAGTCTACCAGAAGCAATGGTGGCACCACCAGCAAGAAAACTGGAGTGATGAAAAAAGCCTTTCTTCTTCTCAGCAATGTACAACGTTCTGGAAGTGCTGAGTACAAATATCCACTTTGATCCCTCAGGTGTGTGTACAGGAACATTGCTTTTCCTGTACACAAGCTTACCTTTTCTTATTATCACTTCATATGCTCTCCTCTCTTCCTGCGATATATATCCACATACACACCACTTATATCAAACTTCTCACTTGAACTTAATTAAACTAAATATACCCCAAAAAATGTTCATGCTAACTTAATTGAGTAGTAGCAAACTCCTTACAGGTTTGCAGTAGTGAATGCACTGTCTTTGTAATTCACTTCTTGGGCACTTCTCCAGGTCCAAATCTTTGCCATCTCCATCATCCAACCTTCAAATCATTGTAATGCAACAAGAAATTAGAAAATCAATTACAGTGATGCAGAAATATCTCTATATGGTTGCTAAAACTTGTGATTATTCTAATTAACGATTGATATTTACCAGTGAAAAAATGGTTGAGCACTTTGGCTACGAACCCAAACATTGTAGTAGAACTGCAGGTTGTGTCCATAACGATGATGGGTGTCTATCTGGGAAAATAGTTTTTTTTTAAAAAAACACAGAAGTTAAGAAACTTGAAACTTTGCATTGTCATGTATACGTGAAATTTTTTGGTAAATCATACTCTTAATTAAAAATTACTGTAAATTCTTAATTTAGCTAACATGTTTTCTCAATTTCGTCCTGATGTGTTTGTAAAATTTTTTGAAAAATCCGTGCACTCAGGGACTGATTGCTCTAGCTGCTTAGTTGTTATTTGAGAAATGAAGAATCATATGGTTCGATAATAACAAATTAGAAATGTTTTGATGACTTTACAGAAATTAACATTCTACAAGACTCTTTAATAAAATTTAGTCTTTATAGTGCCATAAAGCCTTTCGAGACACTAGCATGGCTATTTCAGCCACAACAGTATAAATATCCTATTATATGTGAAAGATCAACAATTCAGTCGATTTCATGAGAATTTAACAAGTGAAAGAACTAAATTGATTTCTTTCAAGTAATCGGTTTTAGAAGTATATTTGTCATATATTTTGAGAATGAAAATTTGTAATTCATTGTCCATCTGTTTGAAATATCCTAGCTTTGATCAATAAGATCGATGAAGCCGATGAGTTCAAAAAATTTTCTGTACTAAAATTATTGTAATTTATTTTAAAATATAATTTTTAAATTGTTATATTTTATATATAAATGAACGGAAGAAAAATTTTATAGTTAATCTTAATTTATAAGAAAACAGGTTCAGTGAAATGAAATCTAAAATTTAAAAGAAAAAATAGTAGAAGAAGCCAAAAAAAAAAACACCAGTTTCAGGTTAAGGCATGTGAACTTACAACTTCAAGCCAGTGTCTCAGAGCTAACTTCTGGCCCTTGTCATCCTTGGACAAACCTTTTCCCACCTACCAACACACCATTAAAAAGGTTATTAATCGATTGCTCCTTCGTCTTTATATAATTATTGGAGTAAAAATACTGTAATTATTATATAAGATCTTTAGTCAACTTGAAAAGGTGAAATGTTAGAAGTCAACAATATATATGCCCTTTTAAGAAATGATATTCAAGTTTTAAGGAAAAACAAAGACATCAACAAGCTGATCAATCAATTAATCAATATAATACACATTTAAAGTGAAGCAAACATTATTATTATTAACGTGAAAAGGGTCATCAACTTTTGTCGCTCCGAAAGGTTTCATACCTTTGCAGCCATTCTACCTATTCGTGCCCACTTACAAACTGCTGATTTTGATTTCTCACTTCGTGATTCATTATTAGTCCTTCCCCATCTATCCCCACCTGATGAGTATAAAGCTTTCCACCTGCACGTTTATGAACATTTCAAAATATCAACCCTCAGATTCATGCTTCTTACTGG